CATGAGAAATTCGAGGTACAGAAGCAGAGGAAGTGGTAAAAAGTGGAACCGCAGCAAAGACAACTATTGTAGTAGGAACCACAGCAGAGGCAACTTCCGTAGCAGGGACCGCAGCGGAGGCAACTTCCGTAGCAGAAACTGCTGGAGTGAAACCCGGAGTTGAAACAGCAGCAGTAGAAACTGCAGCCGTGGAGACCACAGCGGCAGCAGCAGTAGAAACTGCAGCAGTGGACACCACAGCGATGGAAGCGGTGGCGGTGGGAACCGCAACAGTGGGAACTAGATTAGCAGCAGATGAACAAGCAGTGACAGGACGAGCAACGGAGGCAACTTCCGTAGCAGAAACTGCTGGAGTGAATCCCGGAGTTGAAACAGCAACAGTAGAAACTGCAGCAGTGGAGACCACAGCGGTGAAAGCGGCGGCGGTGGGAACCGCAACAGTGGGAACTGCATTAGCAGCAGATGAACAAGCAGTGACAGGACGAGCGCGATGTGGGGATAAAGAAGAAAGTGGGTGATGCAAGGACCATCGCAGCATGCGTCGGAACCACTGAGAGACGGGTGACATGTGTAGGATAGCGACGTTGGCGGTAGCGTGTGTAGCAGGTCCATCCTTTAGCGAGGGTTGGTGGGGAATGGCCACGAGAAAGCATGCGACGAGTGAGTGTTGTCGCTGCAGTTCGGAAGTCCTGCCAATTATTGCAGATGCGTTCAAATCTGGTCAATTGCCCAGTGAACACACCTGCCGGTTGATGGGAAGGGATGTTGGAGGTAGCACTTGGATAGCGAATAACAGGGAAATCCCAAGCAGCCGCTTTATCAAACACGCTCATGCGAAGCGAACCATCAGAACATACCCGTAGATGCATACCTAAAAAGGTACACGAGCCATCTGTAGCCGTAGTTTCCTTCCAATCAAGCCCATAGTGCTCTAAAGGAGGAGGTAATTGCCCCCATGAAAGAACATCATCAATGAGGCGGTAAGTGAAGGCGTATCGCTGAGCAGCTTGGGGATCATGTTGACGAATGTCATCAATAAAGCGTGCTTCATCCCAATAGAGCGTTAGATTGGAGATTTATGGGCCAGCATTTGTTCCCATTGGAATACCAATGATTTGCTTTCGAAGAGTGYCATCTCTAGTGTACAGAAAAGTGTTTTCTACAACAAAGCGAAGATGTTGGAGAATCTGAAAAACGGAAAGGTTGTCTGGTCCTGAATCGGTTGTCCATTCGCCAGAGCAAGGCCCGCGAATAAACATGTTCAAGGTTCTGCATCGCGAATGCATGCGGGTATGCTGAAGAGCATAAGCATGAGCTTCATCAACAGCCTTTGCCACATTATTCAAAATGCGGTCATGAGGAAGGTTGGTGTACATTGTGGTGAAATCAACCGTGCGAGGAGAGAGGCCACGTAGAGAGGACACATTGTTTTTCAGGTCAATTGCCACCTCATCGGCACTCTGGACGATCCAGCACCGTCGAACACCTTCCTGTTGATAGAGCTCAAGTGTCTTTCTCACGAAGAGTAGAGATCACGCCTTGCAAAGCAGTGCTGAGACAGGACGAAGTAGCCGTTGTGCTAGCCAAGGGTTTGTGAGGAGGTCGTTCATGAATGGTGCGAATWGAAGGACGAGAGCGAGTGCGTGGGGGGACAGGACAAGTATTCTGTGCTGTGACTCCAAGAATGCTGTGAAGAGCTAGAGGAGACTTGTGGGCTTTCAACACATAGTATAGGTAAGGCAGGGTATCAGTGTGGGTATAACCCCAATGGTGATTCCATAGTGCATGGTGGTTGAGCACATCAGCGACGGATTCATGAGGACGAGTATAAGTGGGACTGTCCAAATGGGTAGAGAGGTGAAACAAATACCAATTCTTGCAACAAATTGCCAAATTGTGGGATGATTTGTCCACAGG